CTGTACTCGTTGGATGTGTACCACGATTATTTGGAGCACCAACCTCATGAATTAAACCGTGATATAAGCCAAGCTGCAGAAGAGTTCTCGCGCTCACGATCACGCAGTGTTGCACCTGCAACATTGCATGAGTACCGATCTAATCCACCTGTGGTTTCAACCTACACTCATCGTACACCTGAGACAGCTTACGAGACACCTAAACAACCGTTCACTCGTGATACATCAGTCCGATTCGGCCTCTTCGCAAAGAACAATGGGCTCCCCAGAAACAACCGTAGGATGTCAGAAATCCTGAACCCCATGGCAACTGTTTTTGAGTCTCCTGTTGGAAGGAATAAATTTGTGGGAGATCCAGAAGAAACAGACCAGATGAGAAGGATGAGCTCTCAGGCACCTCAGGGAGCCAGAGACATACCTCCACATATGGCTGCAGGACCCTCGCGCAACTCTGACCGTGACAATCAGTCTCCGGCCGGTTCTCGTTCAGGGAATCGCCCTCGCCAAGGTGCACCGAATCCCGGTGGTGATCCGAGCGGTGGCAGCGATGATGATTACGCAGACGACCGCAGACGACGAAATCCATATCAGCCTCGCAGACATGGTCGATCAAATCCGATGGATTCTGGTGGTCCGAGTAGCCCTGGCGATCCTGGTGGCCCTGACCCTGGTCGTGGACCGTATAACAGTGACAATGATAGATCTGGTTCTGCCAAGGAGCCGCATTTTGATTTGAAATTGAAATATGAGAACGTACCAAAGTGGGACGGCAATACAGACACCATTGTTCGCTGGCTCTTGAAAATCAATGACATTTCTCGTGAGTCCCCTACTGTGTTCCGTCAGCTCGGTCGCATCGTTCCGAAGCGCTTGGAAGCTGGTGCAGAAGTCTGGTACTGGTCCCTACCAATTGCCTATCGTGCAGAGATAGAGAAAGATTGGGACACCTTGCGTAAGGCCTTCACTTCGTACTTCTTGAATCGCAGATGGCTTGACAGGCAACGAGGAAGAGCGAACAAAACTACCTACCGGGACTACGGGCATGCTCGTGAGACTCCGAGTGAGTACTTTATTCGTAAAACTGAGCTGTTGAATACGGTCTACACACTGGACGACTCTGAAATAATCATGGAAGTAATGGATGGTGCACCATCTCTGTGGAACACAATCCTTACTACCCAGATGTACCAAGACGTCGTTGAGTTCCAGTCTGCCATTCGATACCATGAGGATGCCTTGATAAAACTAGACTCTCGAGACAAGAGAGACAGTTCTTCTCATGATCGCAACAGGGATTATCCCCGGAATACCATTCAAGAGGCTCGAGCAAACTTGGTTGGTTGGTCTCGGGGCCTAGGACCTCCTGCATTCCCGAAGGACGACCGGAACATTTCGAAGAAGGCTACTCCAGACTCGAAAGGTGCCCGTCCTTGCAGGCACTGTGGCAGTGGCAAACACTGGGACAATGAATGCAAGTATTCATTCAAAGGAGTACGGGCTGCCAGAGCGAAGCTAGGGAGTACAAGCAATGAGGTCATCGATGCTTACGAGCAATATAATGATTTGTATTACGGCCTCGATACCGACGATGACACGGACTTCAGCAACAAGGACACACCCTGAACATTGTTGTTTTGGACTCATTTTTACGATCCGTTGGATCATATTTATTTTATCTAGCGCTTACCTCTCTATGTAGTGTCCTTGCAGGACGTCCTGTGACTATTGACCGATTTCTCCGATCCTCCGAGTACATGTAGACTGGGGGGGCTATGTGATGGATATTGGCAATTTATTTATACATATGGACTTTTTAGTACCCAGAATTATATGCTATATACAGTAGTCTCCATGCACTCTCAATTCATAGCTATGCACCGGCACCGTATTATTATTTATCTTCTCACGGTTCAACACTGCCTCGTGACTCCAGTCCTCCTTTTCTGCGGGTTCGAGTCACTTTGAGTCAGTATGAGTCATTGAGCTATGACTCGGCGAGTAGTCAGTAGTATATAAAGAGGAGTGTCTTCCTCCTGTAGAAAACCAAATCTAAACCAATCTTACCTTGCCAATACACTGCCTTTGAACCTGCACATCTGTGTGACCTCTCCAAGTCGAGCAGCTAGCTCACTATCTTGACTCTTAGTCTACTTTTACTGTATCGCTGCTAGGCTTTCAGTATAACTGGATATTATCTACTTCTGCTGCAATTTTGCTAGACTTTGCAGTACAATTGGATTCCCTCTACTTCCACTGCAATTTTGCTAGACTTTGCGGTGATTAGAGTTTCTCGTCTGTTTTTACTCTCAGGTTGCTAGACTTGGAGTTAGAATTAGACTCACGGTTTGGAACTTGGTGAAGCTATCATTCAAGTTCCCACGTCTCGGTTGACTGATTATACGAGGGTTCCCGAACTCAAATATATTCATTCTCGTTCGTACACGTGTTACGTACTCTCTGAGTAACTCGTGTATACCCCATTTCTATCACAGTTCCCGAACACCCCCTTTCCATCAGTTCCTCCAGCAGTGCGTCGACCCTTCAGTTGGGAAGCTTGGATACCGTCGGCTTATTGAGGTACGCTCCTCGGGATCGTACTTGGGAATTCGAATAACCTGTGCTCTTTGCAGAGTGACTTCATTCGCAAGCCTGTGAGCGCCCGACCTTGGTCCAGCTGCTGGTGCAGTGTTCTGCATTCGAGGCGGACGGATAGGGTGCAGGTCGATAATCAGAGCAGTAACTCAAGAATATCAAGAAGTCTGTATCGCTTCGTTGTCTGTCTACCCAAACCCTTTTCAAATTCAGAAATCTCAGATCTGCGATGCTCTTTTGCCGAAGGCCGGCAAGTGCGGAGCCATCATTTACATTCAAGTTCAGCCTGATCCGCGTCCGGCTCGGAACTTGGAAGGGAGTTGCATTATGATCTATATGTACAGTCCAGTCGTCCATGGTTGTCGTTATAGTTCCCTTGGGTGGTTCATTGATATTCATCGGGTCTAGGACGCAGCCCACCCATCTACTGGGCCCCGCAGGTACATCGTTCCCATGAAATTGATAAGAGAGGTGGCAAGCATCAGTGGTGTATGGAACACACCCCGGTCCAACGCTCCAGTACGATCTCTAAGTCCGGTGACATGAGGTTCAATTCCCCCCTGATGCATTCCGGATGTCTCCGTTTTTGCGTGTAAACGAGGATTAGAAACACAGGCCGAGGCTGAGAACGAGGGTCGAGAGCACTCATGTTATATGGAACACACACTGGCCTAATGGAATGGTGGGCGGTACATCGGTGAGACGGGGTTCGATTCCCCGCTGGTGCATAGTATTCAATTTGCTCCCATTTTTGCGTCGAAAGGGGCACCAGAGGACGCACCTAAAGAGGGTCGGAATAGCTAGGGAGCACCAGTAGTGTATGGAACTCACCGGCCGATTAAATATTGCACAGAATAGTTACGCGACGGTGAGACGGGGTTCAATTCACCGCTGGTGGATTATGTAGTGAAAGCCATTTTTTGCCGCACGCGCTGACGGCTAGAGAATGTTACAGCTCTTTGCGGAACTTAGGGCGTGGCCAATTTTTTTCTGTTTTGGGATGTTTTTGGTATAACAGCCGCCCTGCCCCCAGTTCTTGTTGGATCCCTACGGGAAATGGCGCGATCGATTCGCGCTGGCCCGCAGCGAACCATGTCCTTCGATTCTTTTCTCAGTGCATAAATCAATTTTTGATCAGCTTTGGGGCCGTTCCGCATCGGACAGCTGTAGCTGAGGTAATAATGCTTCGATTACCACAATTCTTGGATAGCTATCCATGAATAGCATCTTTAGTTAACTGGATATTTTAAAACTTTCAATTTGCCATACTTCCTGTCCGGCATTCAACTTGCTCATGGGGCGAAAAACCCTCCCGCCTATGTTGAGCACTGAATTGACTGTGCTCAACTGATCTGTTATCCTGAGATCCCATGTGCTAGATAATGTATCCAAGTATCTCAGAACAAAAACATAGGTCATTCAGGTGACCATTGCTTAGGTGATGTAATAGAAACGGGGTATACACGAGTTACTAAGAGAGTACGTAACACGTGTACGAACGAGATTGAATATATTTGAGTTTGGGAACCCTCGTATAATCAGTCAACCGAGACGTGGGAACTTGAATGATAGCTTCACCAAGTTCCAAACCGTGAGTCTAATTCTAACTCCAAGTCTAGGAACCTGAGAGTAAAAACAGACAAGAAACTCTAATCACCGCAAAGTCTAGCAAAATTGCAGCGGAAGTAGAGGGAATCCAATTGTACTGCAAAGTCTAGCAAAATTGCAGGAGAAGTAGATAATATCCAGTTATACTGAAAGCCTAGCAGCGATACAGTAAAATTAGACTAAGAGTCAAGATAGTGAGCTAGCTGCTCGACTTGGAGAGGTCACACAGATGTGCAGGTTCAAAGGCAGTGTATTGGCAAGGTAAGATTGGTTCTCCACAGGAGGAAGACACTCCTCTTTATATACTACTGACTACTCGCCGAGTCATAACTCAATGACTCATACTGACTCAAAGTTACTCGAACCCGCAGAAAAGGAGGATTGGAGTCACGAGGCAGTGTTGAACCGTGAGAAGATAAATAATAATACGGTGCCGGTGCATAGCTTATGAATTGAGAGTGCATGGAGACTACTGTATATAGCATATAAATCTGGGTACTACAAGTCCATATGTATAAATAAATTGCCAATATCCATCACAGGTGAGACCTGTTGGATATGGAACGGCCCCGAAACTGGTTAAAAATTGATTTATGCACTGAGAAAAAGATCGAAGAATATGGTTCGCTGCGGGCGTGCAGCACGAATTGATCGCGCCATTTCCCGCAGGGATCCAACAAGAACTGGGGGCAGGGCGGCTGTTATACCAAAAACATCCCAAAACAGAAAAAAACTGGCCGCGCCCTAAGTTCCGCAAAGAGCTGTAATTCACGAATCAAGGGACGGAATGGAGGTTGTAAGTACCAGTGGTGGATGGAACACACACCGGCCTGATTTGCAAAATTGGATATATGTCCCTGGTGAGACGGGGTTCGATTCCCTGCTGGTGCATGAGCGCTTCGATTCCTCTTTTTTCTCGTTCGATATTCTGGAAGTTCGAACCATGCACCCCTCAGATTCGACACGCATGCAGCGGCGATCCGGTCTTCGGACCGCATTTGACACTCATCTAATCGATCTCTTATTATTTCCATCTCCACGAAGCTGACGCACCAACTCCGGTTCTTTGCGGAGCTGAGAAAGCGGTCCCACCGGGGATACGAGTGCGGGGTGACAACAATTCAGCCGTTCTTCATCCACTGCAGTAATATTCTTGGCAGTTTCACAACCTTCCTTTGGGACTCCGGGGTCAAAGCAGGGGAGGCGCGAAGATCCCCGTTGCCCCGGAGGACCTGGACCACGACGTCATTGCGGCCTTGCCGAGATGCTTCGGATATCCGCCAAACTTGCCCCTCCCATACATCTGGTCACCGCCTCAGTTCCAAGTTTCACGCTACATGAATAGCACTTGAAGTTGAAGTCCCAGGACGCGGTTCCGGCATCACATGATGGGAATGTTGGACGCGGCAGCAATCGGCACGACCCCGGCCGAAGCACACTGGCACGGTCTTTGTTTGTTCTTCGTCCTCTGCGAGCATGGTAAATCCATCCCAGGATTTACCGCTCGATGTGCCCACCACGAAGAACGCAGAGTATCCCGTTTCAGATATAGATAAGTAAGCGAGAGCTCATTGATCCGCCGCAAGTGACGACAAACACAGACTCAACGGCGCGCTTCAAACGTGCTTTTCTGACTTGCTGGGGACAAAGAAGGAGAAAACTGAGAGGTAGGTCAGGCAGCTCGGTTCATGTTAGCTAATGGAGCTCATGTCCATGGCTTGCACCAACACTCATTGTATGCATAAAACTCACATACCCTCGCAGCGCACTTGAGCTCTCCCCCGCCCACGCCAAGCATGGTGCTACATGGGCGCCCAGGAGCCCGCATGCACTCAAATGGAAATTTGAATTAAACAATGTCGCAGTCGAGCAAGACTCCTGTGGTACTGAAATTACTGAAATTAAGGTACTGTGCTATGGACGTCGGAAGAAAGCGGGACCTGATGCGATGATCGCCGGGATCACTCGGCCGCGGATTGACCGATGACGTAGCGTTTCCGCCGTCACGCTCTCATCGTCGTCGCCATCCATCTATCCGCTACGAAGGAAAGACCACCATGCCCTGTGCGCACGAGCTCGGCCGCCCCCGGAGCCACAACCTACCGTACGCCGTTGACGCCGCCGATGCCGATCTCATCCCATCCCATCCGGTCATCCTGCCCATTCCCATTTCCCGCTTTGCTGGCTATGCATCTATCTTTCACCGTTCTTCCTCGACCCGGGTCTGCCCCGGGCGGCGCCGGGCGCCCATACGGACCCGGGCGCATATCTGGCGCGTACCTCTGCATCATCGAGGCGTCTCTGCTTGCCGGGGCAGCTGGCCTTGCGTCCTTCCTCCGCCCATCGCTGGCCCGAACTCTCCGCAGCCCCGATGCTCGTCCTCTGTTTCTCTCTAGATTTCCTTTCAGTTCCGGCTGTGCTCTGTGGTCGTATTCCTTCCCGATTTACCGGTCCTCTGGTTTCCATTCTTCCTCCTTCCCCAGGAATCCAGCTGCTAAGCCCTCGGGGCCCGTATCTGCGTCGATGGCGCTGGTGCTGGCGTGTTCTTGTGCGTCCCCAACCCTCCGAGTCATGCACGGACAACCCCTTGCACCGCTGGTCCGAGGGTGAGCGTTGATGCCTTGCGCGGCCCCGTATGGGCGCGCTCTCGGCTGAGGCGCGGGAGCCCAACGGCGGTGTCGAGATTGGCCGGCGGCGCCTCGCTCTGTGGATATCTCGCTGCGGGCGGGCATATGCTTCGCGGCCCGCTGGCGGCTACGTCTGCGTAATCCTGCGCTGCTGTTCAAATTTCCGGCGCGCGGAGATGAAGCTGGTGGAGGGAGCGCGCGGGCTCCATCCTGCGTATGATTCCCGCCCCTCTCTGTTTCCCTTCCCTTTTTCTTTCTGGATTCCGGTGCCCGTCGCGCGGCGTCCGTCGTAGACTCGGCACTCTTCCTCCTCTCCCTCCTGGATTCCTATCTCTGTCTGTGCGCCTCTCGGCGTCGCTCGATACTTTCGGCCCTTCAATCAATACGCCAATGTCATTTCGTTTTCCCCCTCTTCGTGCATGACTGCTATCCGAATGCTCGTGCAGTCTCGATTCCAACTCTGATCTTTATATTGCCATGGTAAGAGGGCTGCTCTATCTCTGCTCCCCGGCGTTCGACTCATCGAGCGGCACGGTCGCGGTCTCCTTCCGATCTCGGGTCCTACCTGCCGGTCAATTGTAATCACCCATCCTCACCCGCGCGCCCTTCAGATACGCGGGGATTGTTGGTGAACTACGATCTTATGCAAGGATCCAGAGATATGGGCACTCTCCTCAAGAAGATGTCGAAGAGCTCTGCCAACGAGAATCGCCGGCGGCAGAACAGCCTGGAACTAGAGACTGTGACGGTGTTTTAAACGGCAGCATATTCTCTCAGTCGCCGCCGTTCAACTTTGAATGTGAATAGATGAGTTTATGTGTATGGACCACGGGGCTCTCCCCGCAGCACAGTATTACCCGGTATCCGGCTTCGTTTAGATCCTCATTTATACATTAAATTTGCAGAGCAGCTGAGTCAGTCTCAGGTTGACCTACGAGCCGAAGCAAGTGAGGAAATACGACTTGCAACTATAATGAGGACCGAAGGAAAAATTTACCGGAGGGCAAACTGAGGTCCCACTCGGTTGAAGTAGGATGGTGCGTCCGCTGGCATGAAATCTCTCTCGCTCTTTCAACCTCTTTCCTCTCATTGTGCGTCGGGCACAGCGTTTTTGTGGAGAAGTCACCTGATAAAGTTACGCGGTCCCGGAATCCACCGTATGCCGGCGAAAATGAGAATCCGCTCTGCGTGGCGAGCCAGGGCGACGAAGGGACGGGTCAAAATCTCGTAAAGTCCGAAATGAACAAGTGATAAGAATCGATAATTCACATCACAGCTGTCTGTCGCACATCGCACAAGCACAGCTGTCGCACAGGCACAGCTCTCGCACAGCTCTCGTACAGGCACAGCTCTCGCACAGCATCAGGCGTCTAACGTCTCATGCCTCCCACCACGACGACCCCCGCTCCCGCGGCACCAGCAGTGGTGGCCCCCAGAATGGCGGGTACATCGAGCTTTCCCGAGCCATCAACCCAGTCGGATTGGCTCCCGAATCTGATTGTTGCCGCCAAACTCATCAAAGACGCAGGCGAGGCCATCCCAGTCCCCTACGTGAAAGCTGCATTCGGAGTTGTTGTCACTCTTCTGGAGACTGTCCAGGTTCGTTCTTGCGTTGCTCAGCTATCACAGAATCTCATCTAGTGTATGCAGAAAGTCAAGCAGAACCGGGACGCCTGGAAGGAGGTCTGTGGGAGCGCGGTGGAGATCGTGCAGCATGTCAGCGACGCGATTGGATTGCACGGTGATGCAATGGCAGTCAGGTTCAAGGAATTGTGCAACGAACTTCAGAGGTGAGGCATCTTACACACAATTACCTCGGGCTCATACCCAAAATCTTTCCAGCTTCCTAAGGGAAATCCAACAACACTTGGAAAAAATTAACATGAAGCGAGCGGGGTTCAAAAGGCGCTTAAAGGAGGTCCTCAAAGCCAACAGCATTGGAGCAGACATTTTGGGCTACAAGGAACGCATTAGAGAACTGCGATCAAATTTTCTGGTATGTCTCAGTGTGTAAAAACTGGCACAATTGACCAATCCAACCATCCAGATGGTTGCCTCAATAGAGCATCATGTCAGTTTGGCAAAGGTTGACCAGAAGGTGTCGAAGGTTGGCGAGGAATTGTCTGCCCTTGCTCAACATATGATTCCTGGTGGTAAGCTCGATCCTCTCAGTCCTAACTATATTAATTTCATGTAGGTTGGGTCTTGGATCAGTCGGTGTTGCCTCTCAGAGATTGCCCTCCTCCCTCGCCAATATTCCATGGCCGGAAAAAGGTTCTGGACAAAATGCATGCATACTTTGCACAGAATGCAGAGAGGCAGAAAGTCTTTGTTCTATTTGGATTAGGTGGTGGCGGAAAGACACAGACAGCATTGAAATTTGTTGAAGAAAGCAGCCAATTGGGACGGTGAGTGCTAATTTCCTTGTTTTTAATGCTATCATCTGAACTTTTCCAGCTTTTCAGATGTCTTTTTCATTGACAGCAGCACACTAGGCACCATTGATCTTGGTTTCTGCAGTCTAGCAGTGGCTAAAAATGCTGGGAATACAGCTGAGCATGCCTTGCAGTGGATGGTCACCCATCAAACAGAGTGGCTGCTCTTGTTCAATAATGCCGATGACACTAGCATCAACATTCGGAACTTTATGCCTCGCTGCACTCATGGAAACATTGTGATCACAACCCGGAATCCTGAGCTTCGTGTTCATGCGCCAGATTCACATCACAGGCTCTCAGATATGGAGGAAGCGGATGCCATTGTGGTACTGCTCCAAAGCAGCCTAAACAAATCTACCACCAAAAACATGGAGGTGGCCAGCAAGATTGTGCAGGTCAGTGTGGGCTGGCTGACTAGTCATACTCGACACTAACAATGTTCTAAGGCACTGCATTGTTTTCCTCTTGCAGTGGTCCAGGCTGGAGCATTCATCTGCAAATATGGTGGTCTGGGACGGTATCTGGAGCTTTACAAACAGAATAAGGCTCGTCTCCTGAAGGACAGACCAGCTCAGACACAGGATGACTATCAATGGACAGTATACACCACTTGGCAGATCAGCTTTGACCGCTTGAGCAAGCCTGCAGCACGGTTTTTGGAGCTCTGTTCATTCCTTCACCATGAGGGCATAACCGAAACCATGTTTTCAACAGCAGTCCTTTATACTTCAACAGAGCCAGGAGAACTTGAGGCAACGACTGAAGACCTTGGTGATGCTCAAAAATTTCTCGCTCACTTCTTGACACCGGATGGAACATGGGACCA